GCCCAACAGAGGACGGCAGTTAAGACTGCAGTGAATGACAGACGTTGACGGTACTGCTGACACTCTCAGGGCCCTTGTTTACATTCTGTGAATTGCTGCGTTTTGGAAAGGTCATTTTCTTAAAGAGGACAACCATAGCCACATTTGGATATCTATATTATGCACATAGAGCAAATGACGGACCTGTTTAAAGTTTGAACGTATGCTGAAGTAGTTCCATTTCAAAGTAGTATGGGTTTGAAGAGGATTTCACTTCAATGGAAAAAAGGTTCATAAAAAGCAAAACACTGAAAAGTTACAAAAAAGAGACAGACATGGTGCCAGGGTAGGGAGGGGATGGGAATTGATAAGAATTTAGCGATTCCATTATCAATATAACTTAGAGATTGGATTTTCTCGTAGCAGCTTCTAGCACCAATGCCCAAAGAGCAATCACCACGGCGATGCTACCGTAGAAACACGAGCAGGTAGAAACAGAGGCTGAAGCTCATCCTCTTGTTACCTGTTGAGGTTCAGGCTCTGGCTGCTGGTCTGGGGTCAGCATTTACTCAGCTTTAACCTCACTCTGGGCTTTTGACTAGCCTAGCATTAGCATCCATTAGCATGCCTGCAAAGCGCTGAAGTTGTGTTAGTAGTTTGTTTCTGTTCTGGATGCAGTTTCCACTTTACCATCACACTCCCATCCTTGTGTGCAATTAAATATGAAAATGAAAATGTCCATGTACTCACCGCAGAGTAATTTCCTCCAACATATGAACTGACATCAGCTGATTGTAGCGCAAATGGAACTGATTAGCAGGAGTGACAGACAATGCTAAGGAACTGAAATGGGAACAGGTTCTTGTAGAGAACTGGGTCTCGATTCCCATCCCACAGATCTACAGACCGGTCTGATACCATCTAGGAACCATCAGCAGTGAGAGGTTGCTGGTTGCCTCCCTGTGATTGCTTTGGTTGCTAGCATATTGATACATCATAGTTTGAATGAAAGTGATGGCTATAAACACTGTCCAGCTCTCTGTGCACAGAAGAGATACAAACTAGAAACAGATACTGTGTTCCTTCAAATGATTGCTTCTCTGAAGCGTCCAGCAGAGTTGTTAGCTAGAAAACACTTGTTGGTGTATGAATGTGTGAATGTGCAAATGAGGCATGTTGTATGCTGTGCTTTGAGTGCTCAGGTAGAGTATAAAGGCCCTATGTAAGAACCAGTCTATTTAGCAAGACTGTTAGCCTAGTTAGCATTTGTGCTAAGCTAGCTGGAAGCACTGTTAGCACACTGAAACAGAGGCTATACTTCTGGGGCACTTTGTTATATTTTGTTGAACTACAGGTGATCAATCTATAAAATAAAGATGTAAACAACTTAAATGTACACTAAGACTAAACTTTTGTATCGCAGGTTGTCTGCTGCTGCTTGCTCCACTCCCCAAACAAAAATGTTTATTTCCCATGGAAATGCCCCACCCCCAGCTCCTTTTTGTCCCCCTTTGTTGTCCCCCAGGTTTAAACGATTGTAGAAACACCCCTGCTCTGATAAATATCTGGGACCTGAACTGTTCACTGATTTATGGGCGTGCTATAAAAATATTTAAGTAAACATGCAAAGGCTGGAAGTGCTCTGGGCTTGTCTGAACACACACGTACAGGCAGCAGCTGCATTATTCACATTCAACTCACATCTTTATTTGGACTTTCTGTCTTTATGAGAGACGAAAACATCGATAATTTGGTCAACGTGTCCCTGGTGAAGGTCACCAGCGCTGGGAGATGACGTATTCAGGGACAACTGAGAAATCAGAGTTTCCCTAACACAATTAAATGTCTGATTTCCTCCTCTGGAAATGTTTTCCCACAATTATTGGTTAGTTGTCATTTTGTTTGTAACAGAAAGGAAGTTCACTGTTTTGTAAACCAGCAGTTAACGTTGACTGAATTCATGCCAGTCCATTATAAAGTTGGTGAGGTAATATATATATGTGTAAGTAGTCAGGACAGAGAGGATGATATTGTGAGAAAAGTCAGATTTTGTCTGATTACATGAAAAGAATGTGAGGAGGAGCAGCAGCAGCAGGGATGCTGTAAACACTGATACTCTTCATCTGTCCTTTTTGTTTGAGTTTTCTCCAACATAGAAAAGATTCACAGCATGTTTGTCTGATCAGATGGAGACTGTGGCTGAAATCACTTATCAATGATTGTTGTCATTGGGCCTAAACAGGTTTTCTCACTGAGCTAATTTGAGGGAGCTGAGAATAAACAGAGTCTGAAATCAGACAGATGATATTCACAAACTAAGCGAGTGTGTGTGGGACTGCTGATGTTTGTTCTGCTGCTTTAAACCATTTATTTTAAAGCGTTACTTCCTTCTGGTGCTGGAACAGTGAGCTGGGGAGTTTAGAGGACGATGGTGCTACACATGTCTGTGGAGCGTCACCGTGTTTCAGGATGCAGTGCAGATCCATACTCACTTTTGTCTACTGACCTGTTGAATCTGTAAGCAAACGATGTAAAAGTGATATAAGGCTGACAGACTGCCCCCCCCGGCCCGTGCTTTGAGGATTCTGACAGCACGATTCAGGCATATTAATCCATTTAAACTAACATAGTCATCCTTCTGTAAGCAGCTTCAGCGAAGCAGAATATTTAGTACAGTGATCATTACAACTGAAGGATCTGAAGAACCATATATCATACCATGAAAAAAAAAAAACTGAAGAAGAGCTGGGGAGCAAAGTACTCATGATCAGTCTGGGTTACAAAGCTGTTTATAAGGCTTCAGTATTTCATCACTCTGTATTGAAACATGTGTAACGACAATAATTAGAATCCTAATCCTAATTTAGGACAGGCTCCAACAAAACATCCCGATGGTCCCCGAGACGTTCTGGGAAAATATTCTGTGGACGAGACAAAAAGAGTCCTGTTAGTAACACAGCACGTCATACAGTCGAACACGGTGAGGGTAGTGTGGTGTAGTGTGGTGGTCTGCAGCTGCTTTGCTGCTTCAGGACCTGGACCATTGCTTTTGCTCTCTAACAGAAAAGCTTGAAGGAGAAAGTCTGACCATCAGTCCCTGTCCTTAAGCTCAAAAACGCTTCGGTTTAGCAGCAGGCTCAAAAAATCAGAAGCCACATGGAAGTTTTGTAGTGGCTGAGTCAAAGTGTGGACCTGCGTCCAAATGAGATGCTGAAACAAGCCGTTCATGCAGTGTGGCTGAGTTATACGGTGGCCCCTAGAGACAAAGCACGTACAAACTCCAAAACGCATTTCAAGCGTTAACTGAACTTCCAAAGCAGAGCTACCTACCTCACTTAAATTACACAATTAAGAATTATGTGTAGTGTTTGTGTATTTATACACAAGCACTCATATATATTCAAATATTTTTAAAAAGTTCATTTACCTGTTACTACCACACACCAAATCCGGTTCTTGGTGCTTCCTGGCTTGTGTAGCCACGAGGTAACAAAAGCTCAACACTGCCCCCTCGTGTCCTGGAGCACTTCTGTTGTGTTTGTACGTGTTTTGTCTCTAGGGGCCACCGTAGAATTACAATAGTGAGCTAACACGAATCACTGACATCACACAAGCAGTTATTACACACAGGGCCAGTGTTGGGAAGGTTGCTTTTAAAATGTATTCCACTACAGATTACATATTACATGCCCCAAAATGTATTTCAATGACAGTAACGTATCCGGATTACTTAATATATTATCATGCTTTTTACAGCTACATGAATGTCCTGTTGCTGTGATTTATTACTATTACTGAAGGTTACTCTCCATTTTTGCAGTGATCGTATAGAAACTATTCCTCGCGTATATAAAACAGGTCCGCGGCTCCGAACCGTAGTAAAGGGACCTCTGGCTAATACGTCGGGTTCGTGTCGGCTCGTAGCCGAAAACTAGCTTCACTTTGTTGTCTGGGTCACTTTGCTAGTGAGAGACAGAGAGAGGCGTTGAAAGGCTGCTCATACGGAGCTTATTGTTTCAGAGGAAACAGGAACACGGCGTACAGTCGAGTCTTAACAGCTTACTCACAGCTGGGCTTCACTGCCCATCAGGCTACACTCTTCAGGGCGATGCCTGTAACACTCTGCCTGTTGCCTTCATATTAAATCATTTTTGAACAATAATTTTAAAAAACGTTTCTTCACGTCATTATGCGGCCGCGAGTAGAGGTGACGTGGCCTGAGGCTGAGACACAGACATCAGAGCCTCTTAATGCGTGTTTGTTTGGGTTTCCACCAGCGTGGAAACCAAAAACAGAGAGGACATAGCCGAACATATGAAACAAGAAAAGACCGCCGTGTAATCCATTTATTTCAGCAAAGTAACTGTATTCTGAATACCACCTTTTTAAACAGTAACTGTAACTACATACAGTTACTCATATTTTGTATTTTAAATACGTAATGCTGGTACATGTACTCTGTTACTCCCCAACACTGCAGGGCTGATGAAATCATCACTTATAGACCGCTTTTTGTCTGTTATGAATATTTGTGGATGAAACATGTGAGTGAAAGTTCAAATGAGGGGAGCCAGTACTGTGTGACAGCAGTGCAGCACAAGCACACACAGGTTTGTGCGTGCCTGCGCTGCCTCTCTTTATTTGATGAACAAACATATTGTATTTACAGTCCTGGTGATTTTTGTATGTTTGTGTGAAAAACACAGGTCAGTGTTTTCTTTGTGAAATGCAGCTTAACTTGAGTTTTTGCCTTCAGGACGGTCTGAGCTGATCCTGTGTGGGGAGTGAGAGCACAGAGGCAGTGTAACGTTAGCCTGACTCACTGACTGTGAAACTGTGGAAGGACCTTTAATGCTGCAGTTTTCACTGTGATTCATGTCTGTCTGTTTCTTCATGTTTGGCAAATGTGGAACAAACTTGGCAGGAAAACCAGAACCACCCCCCCCCCCCCCGCCCACCTTCTCAGTGTCCTCATCCTCCTCCCCCGCTCCCTCTCTCCTCCCCTTTTCTCTGTGTTCATA